ATCGTAAGAAATATATCCTCAGATGGATTCATTTATTACCTCTTGCTGATGTAAACTTTCTCAAGTACTTTGAGAGATAAGATCCTCACTGTATATTTTATGAACGATAAAATATATAGTGATTATAATTATCTATTTGAAAATGTATAAAACAATTATTGTAAATCATTAATTAATTTTTATTGATTACTGATTTTTTTTCCACGAATATATAATTCTGGTAAGAGAAGCTCCAGCAAATTGCCTTAAGGCACGATGATATACACCACAGTTACATTCGTTGAATGTTATCAATAAAGCGAGGGTACAATTTTTGATTAAAGTATAAATTACTTGTGTGTGTTAAAATTCGACGATTCTTACCATTATTACGGTTACTGTTTAATAATATTTTCATTAGTCGAATTAATACTTGAGTATTTATTATTACACTGATGACACGTACGAAAGACGAAATGATTAGGCAATCGACGAGCAAAAGTCCATGTGAATGAATGTGCCGATACTCGAACGAAACGAAACGAATGCGATGATTGCACTGGGATTGTGTGAGGCAAAGAGAGACGGTGAGAGTCTTGCGTTCGAGCCCTGTAATCACGGACGCGGCTGCCGACAACCGGCCGAAGGAGAAGAACAGTGAAGGACATTGGCATTGAGACGAGTCGGGGGTCACATTTGAATTAAATAGATTTGTGAACTACTGGTGCACGGCATCGTGCCTGAGGGCAAAATTAAAAAGAAATCTGAAAACATTTGGTTTTTGAGAATTTCAACTTTTTTGAAAAATTTGATTTTTTTTTCTTATATTTTGATTTTTTCTTGAAAATATTAATCTATTTTTCAAAGAAATCGCGCTGCGTAGCTGTGTTTTTTTTATTGTTTATTTGTTGTCCTTGTATACACGTACATCAGTCATATACTTTTTATATTTAATTTTTATTTTATTTGATTGTATATAATTGTATAGAGCGTAGCTGTGTTATAGAGACAAAATATCGAAGCGCCTAAGCGACGCATTGCAGTCTATCGGATAAACATTGGTATGGAACTCATAGGATTGTAAACAATAATTGTACTTATTAAAATCTCTATAAAATATCTGATTATTTGATGTGCATATGTCTAATGATCATTTTTGACCGCCAAATGACATTTTTTTGAACATCCCTTAGTATAAGTTAGTGCAATCGTCCAAAAATCGTAATGGAAATTTTTTGAATATCTTCACGTTTCAGAGGTTTCTGAACATTTTGGCATACTTTAAAAATAATGGATGTGGGTTTGTGTATATGTGTATGGATACAACTTTTCGTCGACGTTTTTGGGAGCACTTCACAACCGATTTGAATGATTCAAAAATTATTGGGTATTTATTAACTATTCATGTGGAGTTAGTTTTTGACAAATGCAGGGTCAGCTGTTTCGAAGACACGGAAAAAATAGTGCAAAAAATGAAAATTAAGTTTGAGTGAACAGGTTATGTGATTTGAATGAATGATTCTAAAATGCAATCGATACAAATAAAATACTTTTTGGATCATTCATTTCGGACGCTCCGTTATCTCAAAAACTAAATAACCTTTTTTGAGACTTTTTGACGCCGAAACGGCTGGATCTGCCTTTGCCCAAAACTAATCAGCACCACGTCTCCCCGTCAATACGATTCGAATGTTTTTTTAATTTATTAAATCGGCTTTATTATTAGACCGTGTTTATTTATTTATTTATTTATTTATTTATTTATTTATTTATTTATTCATTCATAAGCAAGACGTAATTTTAATCTTGTTCTCGAAACCGACGACGAAAATTTGTATCCGCACGCATGCACATACACATGCACACACAGTATTGAGGTGACCATATTTTTTTAAGTCAAAACCGGGACAGTACAAGGGGGGGGGGTGTATGCAATGCAATGAAACTTTTAATCAGCAAATACTATTTAAGAATGCAATAAAAATCAATTTGATTTAAATATACCAATTTTTTTTCAATCAGAATTACTGACTTTTAGTAAGAACTTTATTATTCGATTATATGTTATATTCATGTTATATTGTATCTTATATTTTTTGCATTTAAACTTTCATAATACTTTGTTCAATTTTTTATATAATTATGAAAACATAAATACTTTGAAAAAAATAGGACTTATACTAGGCGGCAGATATTTCATAACTTTTGTTATTTTTCGTCGAAATTTTTAATGTAAGAGGCTATTTTACCGCTTTCAGAATTCTGTTTTCAGCAATTTGTTTATTCATAACGTATTGTTTCATATGAGCATAATCTTTGTGCGTAACATTTTGAAAGCGTGATAGTTGTAATTTTATTAGCAAATTAGAGCGAAAATTCAATTTAAGTCTACACCGGGACAAAAGATCTGAATCCGGGACAAATAATGCTTTAAAAAAAACGAGACACAAAGTGGAAATCCGGTATTGTACAGGCCAGACAGTTTGTGAAACTTTTTAATAGAATTCTACATATTTTTAATTAAATCTGTACCGTATTGTATAATACTTTTTCCTCCAGTGCTCAAGTGAGAATTTGCCCCGAGGAAAGAGTGAAATCTGTACCGCCGCCGCTATTAGTGATAATTAGCCGACGCGCACGCATCGTCCGACCAAGAAGACACCAATACACCAATACACTTTTACGTTTAGATTAAGATAATCGTCTCGAAAAGATTGAAATTAAAACGAAATCGATGAAATACGATCGGTAATAGATCGACTAATTTATTTTACATAAAAATTAGCCATAATTTTTTCATTTAAAAGCCGTTTTTTAACGGCTTTCCCGCGAGCGCACCTGTTCTGCAATTTTGAGCGAAAAAGGAATAATGGAATTTTAGTAAGTTACGGGATTAATTCAATCGTCTGTAAAAGATTGGTATTAAAATGATATTTATGAAATACGATCGGTAATAGATCGACTAATTTAATTTACATAATATTTAGGCATATATTGCTAATTAAATTAAAAATTTGAAGCAGTTTCGCAACGAGCGCAGTAGTACTAAAATTCTTGGTGAAACATATTCGTAGAAGAATTTTAGATTTTTAATAAGTCGTCAGAATAAGTTAATTGTTGGTAGTAGATTGGTAGTAGAATGAAATATTTATTTTCGAAGTAACAGTTGAATTAATTTTATCCTAATTATGAAAATCTCAAATCTCAAAAATCACATCGAAAAGTTGATGTAATTTGCCTTAAGGCAAAATTCTACTTACAATTAGTTAGTCATAATTTTAGGGATATTGATGATACATATCACGTGTTGATAGGTATAAACAAAGAATTGTCAAAATTATATTTTTTTAATCTTCGATTTGGCTATTGTATATATATATATATATGTTTATATGAGTATGTGTCTTCCTCTCTGTGAGAATCCGAGGTGTAAAATAAGGTGTCGATCCCTCCAGGCCTTAAGAGGTGTTAATTTTTTTCTGACATAAACGATTCCTCTCTTAATATATTCCCGTCGATAAATTTCATTGATGTATTTATATGCAATATCTCAAAAACAACGTCCTTTATAATATAATATCTTTTACCGAACACGTTTCGGCCAGATTCACAAAACGAAATGAATCAGTGAAGTACCGACAAAAAATTAGGAAATAATTATAAAAATAATTGAAAGTAATTAGGAAAAAATAATACAAATTAACTCCAGAGTCGATTTTAATAAAAAAACAATAGGATCAACTAGGAATTTAGGAGTGATATTATTGAGAAATCATCTAAAATTCGACAAAGTACTAAAAATAACAAATATCACCAATATTTTTGAAAATCCCAAAAGCATTTTTGCCAGTATATAAATTGGCATTTTTAGCTACATCATAGTTGACTCATATTCTACAAATTAATATTTTAGAACCTTATCTCTATTAGTTTAAGAGCAAATGCTCATCAGCCAAGATATCCTGAAGAGCTCATCAGAAATGCACCCTAATCAATACTTAAAATAAAAAAATTAATAGAACTTTTAATTTCATTTTATACTCTAAAAAATCACAGATCACCAAAACGTTTAAAATTCCCAAAAAATATTTTTGGTAAAATTTTAAATGTCATTTTTAGCTTCAGCATAGTTGACTTATATTATAAAAGTTAAGGTCTTAAAACTATATCTTTATTATAGTAAAAGAAAATGCCAATAAAACAAAATGTCCTGAAGATTTCATCAGAAATGCACCGTTATTCAATACTTAAAAACAGAAAATTCATGAAACTTTTAATTTCATTCTACTCCCTGTAAATACTAAAGATTTCCAAAACGTATGAAATTCCCAAAAAACATTTTTAGCAAAATTTTTATTGCTATTTTTAGCTTCAGCTTCATTGTATTGTGATGATTTTTTATTGTCAAATATGGAAAATTTATTAGAGATATAGAAAAACAACTTGAAAGTCAATCATTGAAATGATGATTTATCCATTGCCAATTTTTTTTAGCAAGTTTTGTAAAACCACAGAAAATTGATCAAAGTGTTGAAAATCTCTGACCTCAAAATTGTTGATTATCCACTGACTAAATATTAAACAACTAGAAAAAAGACTTCTGCTTTCCAAAAAAAGATCAGCAGATGATGGGCAAACTATGGTTGACTTATATCATAAAAGTCAAAGTTTTAGAACTTTATCCATATTAGTTTAAAAGATAATGCACATGAACTAACTAACTAACTAAATTCCTGAAGAGCTCGTCAAAATTGTATCGTATCTAATACTTAAAATCTAAAAATTGATGAAACTTTTAATTTCATTCTACGTCCTAAAAATATCAAAGATCTCCAAAACGTCTAAAACTCCAGAAAAACATTTTTGGACAAAATTTTAAATGTCATTTTAGCTTCATCATAGTTGACTTATAGAAGTTAAGTTTTAGAACTCTATTTTTTAGTTTATAAAAAAAATGCTATCATACACTTATTGTACACATTTTCCTTGATATCACTATAATTTTATTTTTTTTCTTCCAGAGACCCAATGGACGCCCTACTCCTAGAGCAGCACCTCCGTTCACCCTCTACGTCTGTTCCCAGACTCCTTGCTAGCCCACGCGCACTCACCCTACCATCTAGCAGCCCAAACAACACACCAGTCCCTGAGCCAACAAATAGCCCAACACCAACAAAACCTAGCCCAATCATCGAACTCCCAAGAAGACAGCATCCTAGACAAAGCAGCCCGAGCCCACATGATCTGGGCCCAGAATCTAGCCCACCAAAGCCTAGCCCAAAACCAGGGGCAAACAGACCCTGAATCGATCCTGGAAAAAGCAAGAGCCCATATGTTATGGCAACAGCAACAGAGGACATCGACAGCCACAAATGGGCCGTACGGGGAATTTTTTTACCCCAGGTTGCAAACTTTGGGAGCCCTGAATTCCTTGGCTGGTTTTTGGACGCAGAATCAATATTTGCAGCAAGGATCGGCCTTTGCGGCGAGGAGTCCTGGGTTTGGGGCTTTGGGGGCTGGTGCTGGGGGTAATAGAAGCCCTAATAGGGAACCGGGGACTCCTAGCAGTAGTGGGAGCCCTAGTCCGGTGGCTAGCGATTTGAGGAGTGGGAACCAGAGCCGGTTTTTGGGACAGAGGTATAGTCCTTATCCTAATCCGTCGAGTCCTGGGGACAGAATAGACAATAGGATAAAGGATAGTGAACTTATTATTGATAATAGTTGAATTTCTCGGATGAAGTATATTAGAACAATGGAAAGGATTTAAGACATTTCTCATTGTGATGATTTTTCATTGCCAGAGATATAGAAAAACAACTTGAAAGTCAATCATTGATTTCTTGAAATGATGATTTATCCATTGCTAATTTTTTAGCAAGTTTTGTAAAAAAATGGATGTCGACAAAACCACAGAAAATTGATCAAAGTCGAAGAATCAACCAAAATTTGTTTGAACACATTTTTGGATCATCTTTTATTGTATTGTGATGATTTCCCATTGCCAGAGATATAGAAAAACAACTTGAAAGGCAATCATTGATTCCTTGAATTGATGATTCATCCATTGCAAATTTTTTAGCAAGTTTTGTAAAAAAAAATTGGTGTCGGCAAAACCACAAAAAATTTAATCTCTTGGATAAAGTATATTAGAACAATAAAAAGGATTTAAGACTGTTTCGTTGGTAGAACTACCAAATCAAAGGAACTACCAAATTTTTCAGTTTTAATGTGATGATTTCTTATTACCAGAAATATAGAAAAACAACTTGAAAGTCGATCATTAATTTCTTGAAATGATGATTTATTGCCAATTTTTGTAGCAAGTTTTGTACAAAATTTATATCAGCAAAACTACAGAAAAATGATCAAAGAATTAAGATGACGTCAAAAATATATAAAGTTTTTGTTGATTCAGTGACCAAAATATTAGACAACTGGAAGAACTGACTTCTATTTTGACAATAGGGGAAAGGATAGTAAACTTATTATTGGTAATAGTTGAATTTCTTGGATAAAGTATATCATAACAATGGAAAGTATTGAAGACATTTCTTATTGTGATGATTTCTTATTGCGAGAGATATAGAAAAACAACTTGAAAGGCAATCATTGATTCTTTGAATTAATGATTTATCCATTGCCAATTTTGTAGCAAGTTTTGTAAAAAAAATTATGTCGACAAAACCACAGAAAATTGATCAAAATGTTGAAAATCTCTGACCTCAATTGATAATCCATTGTATCTGCTTTCCAAAAATGATCAGAAATTGATGGGAAAACTACTAATTCAAAAGGTTGTTTCTAAATCATCTAAAAATTGGTGATGATGCTTCAAAAAACCTGAAAAACTTTCAGCGACATTATCAAAGGCCATCATTGTCTACAAAATAGACAATTTTGATCTAAAATTAAATTGTGCAGTGTTTTGTATCAGTGGAACAAAAAGACTTATACCAAAATAAATTTCTGCATGTGCATTAAGATTTTTTATTAAGGGTCTAAAGTACCCTTAACAAAACTGAGTTGATCTATGTATTTCTAATACATATTGTACAGTGTTTTATATCAGTGAAACAAAACTTTAGCTATTGCAAGTGTTGTGTTGTAAAAAAATAAGGGTCCAGTACCCCTTTGGACCCTAAAGACTATCAACTTATTAGAGTTGAATTATTTATTTGTAATATATATTTATATTTAATTATTTATATCAATGTGCTTTGTAAATATAAATGTAGTGGACTCTTGTGATTTGTACTTAGACGTGCTAGAAAATTGGAGAATTGAATTAAATTGAATTGGTACGGAACTTTAGAGTTAAAAGATAAAAGTTTGATACTTTTGTTTTTTTGTGAAGAAATTTTTGGGGATTTTGACGTAGCAGAAAAAAATTCAAAATAGAAATAAATAATTGTATAAAAGGCAGTATTTTTTCTATCCTAATGAATTTAAACTTTTCCAAATATCTTTTACCCTTTTTGTTATATTTAAATTATCCTGGACATATACACTATAATTCATCAAAATTTTGCAATTGAAGTCAAATTTCGACAATTTTTGGTACCCCAACGACTTATCCTATATGTCTAAAATTTACACCAACATTAGCCACATATTTAACAAACACGCCACAAAAATATCCTCACAATATCCTTTATCCTTTTTATTATTTTCGGCCAAACGTTCGCACACGTCGAGAAGGTCCTTTTAAAAATTTCACGGCAATTTTCCGCTCGCCACGCTCGAGGTCTCTTTCTTAATAATGTTTGCTTTCTTATTTGTATTTTACGAAGAATTGTCGATGTCGGTGACATTTTTAATGTTTGTTTATTGTTTATTTTGGAAAAGAAATCGTATTTAAGTTGATTATTTGTTATTTGCCGTGAAATCGAGAATTTGAACGACGAATCGTAAAAGTCGTGTAAATATCGCTTTTACGACTTTTGGAAGCGAAAATTGATCGGGGAAATATATTTGTGTATTGTGTACTGTACTAATTTTTCACTAAATTACCTAATTTAGTTTTCTATCATTAATGTGCTATGTCAAAATCCGCCGATTTTTTCTTTTTTTTCAAGAGATTTTTCTCAAAATGAGCCAAAGATTTGTGTAAGTTGAAAAACCGATTAATTTTACATAAAAAATTATAATAGTATCAATACCAGTTAAATAATTTTTTATTTTCGTTAATAATTATTTAATTATTGGCAATATCAATCTAATAATTATTGATAGTAGTAATGAAACAAATTTGTTAATAATTAATCATGAGTTATTTTCAAAACCAAATATTTATTGGCAATAAAAATTAATTACTTTTTATCAAAATTAATTTTCTAATACTAATTAATTTATTGGCAATATCAAAGAATTATTTTCAATATTATTGGATTATTTAATTATTGTAAATACTTGTTAGTTTTTTGTCAATACTAATTAGTTATCAATAATAATTATTTGAATTGTAATTTAATAAATGAATTCATTAGTTAATTCAATTAATATCAATTTAATTTGTAAATATGTAAAAAATATCGTGTGATTATTTATTGTGTACAAAATAACAAGATTTTGCGAAAAAAATGTGTAAAACAAAAAATATTTACTGTTTTTACAAATTTTTGACAAAAATTATAGTAAAAATTTACTTTTAATTTTTAAACAATGTAAATTTATCAAATATGTGATTGTCTGACATTTTATCAAAATTTTGTACAACGTACTATTAGAAAATTATTGAGAAAAAAAATCGTCTGTGTTTTTATTAAGTAAAAAAATTTTGTTTATTAATTAATTGTTGCTAAAAAAATCGTGTAAATAATTCTAGATTGTAATATTTATAAGTTGACTGTGTATATTAAAAACTATTATATAAATATAATAATTATTGAATATTATATATATTAGAAATATATTATACAAAAATATTGGATTGAAAAGTTGTGGTTTTATTTATTATGAAAAACATTAATATAGAATTTGTTTCAGGTTTTTTTTAAATAAAATATAAAGAAATTAAAATTGAATTAAATTTCAAAATCAAACAAATCAGAATAAAAATACTAAACAAAATTTTCCGAAATTTTTGATGATATGAGATTTATTTTATTGTATGAATTTTTTTATATAAAAATTGTGTGGGATTAATTTTTTCAAAAATAAAAATATAAAAATTTTATTATTAAATATAATTAAGTAAATTTGAAAAATATTAAAGTTAACTTAAAAATAAATATATTTGAATATTATTAATTTTTATATAAATTAAATTAAAAAACAATAAAAACCAAATGGAAAAGTATAAGAACTTCTGCAATTCAGGGTTATTTTACTATTAAATATTAATTTTTGAGTATACCAAAATATTCTAAGGTTTTTTTGTTCCTAAAACTTATAGTTTAATCAATTTTAAACAATTTTCTCTAATACTTCATCCATATTAATAAAATGGTTTATGATTTATAAATTTTATACCAAAAATAGTACTCCAATCGTACTCAAATTAATTTTATACATTTGAATACAATTTTAGAGTATACCGAGTTGCTTTAGAGGTTTCCAATGTTAGAAAATATTATAGATAATTTAATTTTAAACAAAATTGCTTAATATCTTACTCAAATCGTACGAAGTTCTAAAAAGATATACAAGAAAAATTAAAAAACTACTACAATTGGTGTCTTATTTGTAATATTTTAGCTTCACTATATATTTATTATATTGTCTCCAAATATATTATTAAACTAAATAATATATCTCAAAGTGAGTCTAGACATCAAAACCAAAAAAGTAAAAAGCCAAAAAAATCCTTTTGGCTAATTTGTATAATTGGCGATCCTCTCAACGATGGCTACTGTTCGAAAATATATAAAAATAAACAGTAAAAGTTTTATTACATTTTTTACTGGTCATAAAAATAATGAAATCCTTAATAATTATTCGAACCGAGAGAAGTTATGAGTTTTTGGAATATTTTTAGACACTAATTTGGGCATAGGAATTTGAAAAGATTTGTTAAGAAATGGAAGAAATCATAGAAATAATTTGTATTTGATTTAGACAAAAATTAAACTTAAAAACAAATATAAACAAAATTTTGTAGTGTAAATTATCGTAATAAAGTATGATTAAAAATTTAAAATTTGGATCCGCCAGTATCGATGTTTTTTTTTTCAAAATTTTGTTCTAATACTATAATAGTTCTTTTTGTTTTTGCTTAGTTTTTTTTGTAAGTATTTTCCATTATTAGGATTGCACTTTCAAATAAAAAAAGCAATTTAATTTGTTCAATATTTTTTTTGAAACAT